TGGTGACCTCCGAAATAGCTGCTATAACTTCTACCGCTTAGACTTTGTTACTTTTTCCATTTTTCCTAATAAATTATCGTGGTACAAAGCCCAATAAAAATACTAAAATGATATTTTTTTATTTAAATTTTGAATGATTCAAATTGCTACATCAGTTCATGAGTTCATAACATTCTTCTTATTAGGACTTTGCAAAAATCTTTTGATTTGGACCTAAATCTATAATGCGTAGTAAAAATGAATACTTTATATTTGATTATCGTTTAAAAATGTTCGTATTTAAAAATAATATTTTCATACAAAATTTATTACGCACGTATTTGACTGTTCACATCTGAGCATGTATATGTAAGTGTACATACGCACCCCAAGCATGCAGAGCGCCGCTCTGAGAGCACACCCATACATACATAGTACATAAATGCCCTGCAAAAAATGCGACTAATCCGGGATGACTCCGGGAGCAATCGCAGAGGAACATGCGAATACCACTTTTGATCTCTGATTGAGAGTAATCTCGGAATACTCTCTTTAGAGATTAGTCGCACAATTTTTTGCAGGGTGTTTATCCGCACAAATCGCGTGCTGTGGTGTTGATAGATATTCAACATTTGAAAGCAAATTTATATGCCTGGGTGTAGCTGGGTGCGGAAAGATGCTTGCCACAAGTTGTTGATATCTGGAGATGGTCGGCTTCGAATTCCACCGCAGGCAACATGCAAATTTTTTTTTTTTTTTTNATTATTCACTTCACGGATGCTTTTTCAGTACGAACGCGGTCATTTTAAAATGCGCGTAATTGAATTGAATATTTACCAATATACAGTACTTTCGTTGACGTTTATAGTAAGATCAATTACGTTTCTATTTGACTTTAATATTTTTTTCCCTCAGTGTACCAATTGAATACAGACGTTCTGGAAGTAAATAAATAATAACACAGCCAGACAAAAGAAAGTGTCGTGTACTTTTCACAGGAATACCCTACCCTCATGTATTTTGATACGCTGAGCACAATTTTTTTCTGTCACATAATAGTTGTGTTTGTTTCCTCATTTCCAGTAAAATCCAGTGAAAGTTTTTACGAATTTTCATGTTTTGTCGTTTTCGTACGCAAAAACTTGCAAAGTAGGGGAAATTTTGAGAGCGAAAATGACAGCTTAAGTTACAAGTTTTTATTAGATCAATTTTTACTTGTAAGAATTTGCCAGTATAAAAAAACAGCTGATCGCATGTTGATGGCTACAAATTTAAACTAATAAGGAAACTGTTTATGGGATTTTATTGTTGAAATTTACAAAATAAACCAATATAAATATAAAAAAATATATTGTTTTATTGAGAATTTGCTGCTAAGAAAAAAAAAATATATATCAGCTATTCATGAAACTTGCAAATTATTACGGGATTTGCGTTCGCGTACTTTTTTGGATTGTTTTTCTATGAGAGCGAATTCTCGGAAATTAAGTAACTGAAGAGTTACGCCGTCCAATCTGTTTATTGCAAGAAAATACTTACGTAGCTAGCACTTCTGAGATTGAGAGCAGCATGAGTTTTGTCCACCTAAAGCCCCTCGATACCTCCCAGTTATAAATAGCTGAGCAAAATATTCACCCAATTCCGGATTATCGAGCAAGGAATGCCTGGTCTGAGCCATTTTTAACGAAAAATCAGATATATCATGTCAAGGTGGACTACCTAATGACCTGTTAGCTTAGAGTAAAGTTTCATTGTTTAACTAGTTTGAAAGTAGTTTTAGGGATAGGCAGCTGGATTGTCACCACAGACACTTAAACTCTTACCTTGTACCTATCAGCGTATTTTCTACCATGAAGTCCATGGCCTTGAGGATTACAAATACCTCGACTTTAAATACCTAGGCATATGCCACAAGAACGGAAGTGAAGATTGACCCCGTTACCTTCCATATACATAGATTCCAGATCATCACCCCGTGTCATTGTGGGAGCCAATCAGTGAAGATCGTACAATGCAAGTGGTGACGTATTATCATGTGGCATTGAAAAGACTTTAACGTCTAGATCTCTATCCCCAGCAATTTCCGCTTCACTTCACACTTTTTTATATATTTCACAGGATACTTCCTGTGGTCTGTTTTCATTTACTTTCCTTAAAAATTTTCAGATGATACCCAAAGTAAAAAAACATAAATTATGGCTACAAGTATAATTTAACAGTGCTTGCAATGAGAGGGGCTGTCCGCTGATTTATACTCAACTTAGCTATCACTATAGACGTGAAATTATACTAGGTTACCACGTGTTATTGACGCCGTATGCCATGGTCTAAAAATTGGCGTTTACCTCCTATAGAAATACTGAGGAATATTCGATGGCATCGTTGAAGATTCTAAAATGTTTGTGACCAAGTCTCTAAAGCAATATTTTTTTAAGTGTAAAATTATACGTATTTTCAAATCCAAACCACAATTACGAGTACAGCGAAATACTGGTATGAAATTTTAAAGTTCAATGAACGCACTGAAATATTGGAAGTAAAAGCGATGCACTAATTGACCCACACACAGTAACGTGCATCAATCAAAATAGATTGGACTAAAATGAATATCACATTTTTTTCAGAAGATTACCTGCAGCTGCTAAAAAAAAAAGCTTCAAGTATCAGTTTCATTAATAAAATTCAATGAGTTTACATAAATATAATTCTATATGGAAATAATATAATAAATACGCTTACTATATTTATTTAGTTTAATATTTTTAATTAAGGCTTGAAAATATTTATAAATCAATGCACATAAGCACACGTTTTTTTACAGTTATTATACTGATTTTAAAGCAGACACAAAAACTTGTTCAACAGATTAGCAATTAGGCATGTTTAAGCCACATACATATACATATGTACATACATACATAGATGGCGCAATAAAAATGTCTGTACATATTTAAAGTATCTCGGCTTTGTTGTTTTTGATTTTCTTTATAATTTTATTTTTTAATATATTATACCATCCGTCTTGAATTATACGGGACAGTCCTCTTTTTTTACCCATTGTCCTGGTAATTTATTTATGTATTTTATACGGGACGCCAAATGTTCTGTATCTCTTTTAATGTCCTGTATTTGTCCCGTATTCGGTGTTTCGACTAGAGTCCAACGGATTAATCGATGCTGAGGCTAGTATCAGCCATAAGAGTCGGCATCGGCCGTTTTTGGCCGGTTCTTGAATGAGGTAATGTTATTTATAAAAGCATTTGTGCTTGAAATTAATTTATATTCTGATTGTCGATTCTTCGCCAATTAAATGCTGAATATAAATTCATTTCAAGAACAAATGGTTTTATAACAATTTTTATAATAACAAAATAAAAACATAAATAAAAAATGTTCAAACATATTTACATTTTATGAAAAAATTGTGTAACACCGTAAACAAAAAAATTTACAAAAATTAATGGCATGCCTTAGCGACTTAAAATTGGCATTATTATACTAAAATTTAACGAACTTTTTAAACAAATTTTACGAGGTAAAAATCTCGAGAAAATTATCCTACAAATTTGTGATGTTACTATAAGGATACTGTTTCAGGGCTATTACATCTAGGATCAGTTGAAGAAGGCTTTAAGATCTATGAGCTGCTGTGAAAAAAATTTGCAAAAATATTTTTTTACCCGTATTCGGCTCTCATAAATATGGTCACCGTAATTATAGGCCATGCTTAAATGTAAACCACCTTTGGATTTGATAGCGAGCTTAAGGCTTTTCCAAAATGCGTGGCAAACTGTACGAACGATAGCCTCATCATCTGTTGAGTTCCTTTCCCTTGCCAAAGAGTTTTTCAGCGCATCCATTGTTCAGCGTTTCTTGTCACACGCTTTAATCTGTATGTAGAATGATCCAAATTCCCAAAGGACTCAAATCCGGCGATGATGACGGCCCCTGTACGGGTCTAATAAACGAAGGAACGTTTTCTGCAAGCAAATTTTGAATACGCTGCACAGCTGTTGGAGAGAGTAGCGTTACAATAGATTTTCACAACTGCTGTCCAGCCTCATGAAACCGTTTGCTGGTACGTTGAACTAATTTCCCGCTTAATTGATATTTTGCCAGGCCTCGACGTATTTGAATACTGGTTTTTACTTTTAAGGGAAGGCCTCTAAAGCCAAGTTTATTTTAAGCCTGTAAGATATTTTAATTTTTTTATATATATATATGCGTCCAGAAAATCTTTGTAAAATTTGAGCATTTCCAGATCGGCAATTTCTGCCAAATGGTAGTACTTTTTAAACGGACACTTCAATTGCGCCACTCGCCAAATACACATTTACATCTGTACATATTTGTAAAAATACGAGTATTTACATGTGTACATACATAGCTAAATACAATGCAAGAGAGGTGTGAAAAAAAATAATTTGAAAATGAACTTAAAATGCAAATATGTGAGAAAGTATTCATTGTGATTTTATACAAAGAAGATCGTTAACATTAAGAAATTTAGGCGAAAATATTGAGTTTAGCTGCCGTAAGCGACTTGACAAGTTATGCCATTGATTCTGCAATATATACATACATACATACATATATTTACGTACTTAGGTATATTTAGAAAAAAGGCAAGCAAATTATTTTAAACTACATAAGGTAACACACACACACATATAACTCGTTCTCTCAGCTGACCAATATATACATTTACAATTCTGTCCCAAGAATATACGGAAAGAAATTTATTTGCAAATTTTGATATGCATATTATGGCTGTAGCATAACTATAACACCCGTGCCGACTTTTAGCTGAAGCTTTAGTTAATAACTTGAATTAATCGTCCATGCAAACTTTGGAAAAGCGAAAAATTTGATTTCTTTCCCATATTTTAGCGCATTTCAGGTAAATCTGCATCAATAAATTTTTAATAGGACGGCAGGATTCCTCCCGAGGACATCGAAAAAATTAATTAAACTAAAATATCTTTTACAATTTGTATCCTTCCATATCCTTACAAAAATTAAACCAAGATTCTCCAAAATGCATTCAAAAATAAATATGTATCTTGAAGGATAGTATTTTTAAAGGACATTTGAGACATGTTCCAAAAGGATATTGAAAACACATTAATCTTGTTTTGAATTTTTCTTTTAATTCATACCCATAAATATTTCCATATTTTGTGTATGCTTTTAGAAATATGAATAATATAATTTAATGGTCCTTTGGAAAAAATCCTGACTATTAAGCCCTAATACTGTAAGTAGTATAGTAATACCGCGTTATAAAGAAGTAAAATGAGTAAATTAACAAACCAAGTCGGCACAGGTTGCCGTGGTCCGAATTGCATAAAATTTTATTTAGATAGTTTTTAAGACAAAACCAATAAATATATATACAAATGTATATATTTTTGCATTCTGTGAAAATTGGTAACCAACTCAACTTCAACCTCTACCACCAAATACCCAAATCACTGAATAGCTCTTCCGACGTGGGTAACTCGTAATTTTCATTCACCCATTCAGAATTCTCGCCCGTCTTATTCTGTTGACTGCCATACTCTTTTCTATAGCCAACTTTGCGCAAATCATCTTCATCACACTCTTCCTCATCGTCGTCTTCCACCGCCTCCAATGTGCTACGTCTGACCAAACGTGATTTGGCAAAGTTGGATCGCTGTTCGCTGGGCATTACTTCAAGCAGTTCACTAAGTCCACTTATATCAACTTCTCTTTCTTTCTCAAGTTTTGGTTCATCCGCCTTGGCTGCAGTTAATTCTTCAGCTGTTAGCTCTGTTGTAGCCGCCACCCGTTGTATGCGTTCGAATATGGAGAGCATATGACGTCTAAATCGACTGTAGTCAAAATTTGCGTGCGTCACATTTGTTTCAATCGCATTTATGCCTTCATTGTTCTTCACGCGATTTAAGGGACCGTAATGGTAGAGCATATCAATGCCCGGCGACATTGATTCCTCCCAACTCTGTGTAAGACAAAAAAAAAATAGTGAATGAGTGGGACAATTGGGATTGAAAACGATGTTTGTGTTGTGAGTGCATCTTACCAGTTCTGTCCAATCCTCAATCGGTGTGCAAAGCACTGCGCAAATAACATTCACTAGCTTCTCCTCCATGCGTAGCGCGCCGATAAGTGAAGTGGCTACGGAAATTGCGCAATTAAGGCCACAACGTTGCCTGAAAGAAATGAAAATAAGCTGGTGATTACGAAAGAAAAGTTGCCTCCAAATAGAACAGTTGCTGCATACTGAATGTCGAAAATGAGTAAATACATTTTTCAAATTCCTATCTTTAATGTAACACTGCCGAGTGGAAGATCGACCACCACTCTCGGCAGCCAGTTCGAAAACGCCCTATCTCAAAAAACTTTTCATTCAAATGATAGTTACATACAACTAAGAAATCATTTGGTATTTTTGTTAGAGCAATTTTAAACATTAGTTATCGTACTATGTTAAAAAATGTTGTTTCGATGTTGTAAAGGTTCCAACGACATAGCTAAAATTCACAATTGATCACATTCTGGAGTAAAATGTCCCACAGTCACAGTGGAATGGCCCGGCTATAACTTCTACAAAAATGTATATATTAGTGCTGTTTTTCCACAAAATTTTCTTTAAACAGACCCGGCCTCAAGCTCAATACAATTGTTGAATTTTTGTTTATTGTAATGGATAAGTGGATAACAAATTTGGTTGTTATTTTTCATGGCGCAATGAACAGGTGAAGTCAAGGCACATTGAACAGGTAGTATTTAACAGTATAGCAGCTGATTTGATTTTTTTTTTTTTCAAATTATTTGGTCTCGAAATTTGACACATTTTTAATTTCTTCTCACAAAAATTCCAAAAGGTTAAAATCTATTTTCATGTGAAACGTTTTTTCCATACAAAACAAGCGATAGAACAGCAGCTGGTCGAAAAGCAAGCAAATTTACTAAGATAGAAAGTTGTTGTTGAAGAGGGCCGCCACCTGCTCAAAATTTCAACATTTCATTTACAAGTTAAATGAAAAATATTGTTCTATGGATGTCAAACGATAGGTTTTGAAGAAAGCTTGAAAACGATATTTGAGGGGATGCTATTTCAACAAAAAGTTAAAAGAAATATTTTATTTGGCATCAAGTCAACAAGAAGTCTAAGAAGACTTCATTTCGAAAATATTTTTGAGGGCTGCCACCTGTTTGGAAATTCAAGACTAGTTTAATTAGCAAGTTTTATTAAATATTTTTATATGGCCGTCAAAAGAGAAAGGTTTAGTAAAGGTTTATTTTGGAAATTTGTTAGGAAGATTGCCACCTGGTTTTTAATTCAAAACCCCATTAATTAACAAGGTAAGGAAAAGTTTATTCAAACATGTTTTTGAAAGTTCAAAGTAAATTTTATTAAGTTGAGTGACATTTTTAATATGGCTGTCAGATGAGAAAGGTTTAAGTAAGCTTTATTCCTAAAATAATCTTTTGTTAAATATTTTTAAGGATTGCAGAAATTAATGAAACATTAAAATGCGGGCGCCTAATAAACAAGATAAAGAAAGTGTTTCTACAAAATACTAGTCTTTAAAGAGGGTACTTAAATGTTTTAAAAGTAAAATTTTACTTAGTTAATTCGTAAATTTACACTCTATGTATATCATTCGGTATAGCATAGTTTGAGTTGCAGCTATAACATTTGAAAGCATAACATTAAACGTTATGTCAGGCGGGCAGAGCCGCGCGTATAATCTGGTAAGTATATTTGCATTTATACTTACGCTTTTTCCTGTTTGCGTATTTCCATTAATTTATCACCCTCAGCTATGAGTTGATCATAATTTTCCTCAATCTGCATGACCAATGTTTCCTTGGACTCATCCTCAGAGTGATCCTGTAATCTGCGCTGTAATGTTTTAAATTGTTGCAATAACAAATCCAATTCCAACTGTAAAACGAAAAAAATATGTTATGTATGTAGATCTAGTCGCCAGAGAGTTTCAACAGTTTTACCATTTGCTTGTGTATATTCTCTTGTGTCTCGCGATGCAGATCGATCTTATGCAAAATGGAGTGGATTGGTAGCGCTGGATTGGCCATAATCGTTTTCACTCTGGGATTTATCACATTTTTCACACGTTTATCCTTTGAAGTATGCGACTCTTGCGCATGCTCCAAAGCCACTTTCGTTATACGTTCTAATATCATTGGAAGTGTCTCTAATGTATCTGATTGTATTCTAAAAAGAGTTTCAAAAAACAAAAAGATATTGGCAATTTAGTAGCAGCTTTAATACTGTAATACCAACCGCAGACGATTGGAGTTCTTTGCCAGCACAATAGTCACAACCTCTTCACGTTTCTCATCGCCCGGGCAAAGTAGTAGGAGTCCCAGCGCTTGCGATTCACTTTCCATCGCTACAAATTCGGGAAAGAACGTAGATAGCTTGGGTGTTAGCGTTTTCGACATAATATTTATGTAAGTTTGATCTCAGCCGACTTTTGTGGATGCTTTTGTTTGAAGAACATGCTTAGCGGTAAGTATGCGGATTGTTGCAAGACGCGCGGTATACCCTAGTAGCAAATAAAGCGAACGACAAATACAATTCCATTTCGCTCATTATTCGACAACTTTCACTCACTTTATTGCTGATAAAGGAAACAATAACATCGACGCGTGCCGTATGCAAATGCAGCAGATCATCCACATAAAAGTCCAACTCCAACGTCTCGACCTGCCCTGCTCTCATATCCACATAGGCGAGCGTATCTTGACTACAGCGTAAGCCTTCGGCCAAGTTGAAAACCACTTGTAACTCAGCCAACTCCTGCTTACATCTCAACTTCAATATGCCCGTGCAGGAGGGTAATTCTTTCACGGCCACATGTGCGGGTACATCCAATAGCAGCACATCGGCATCATCACTAGTCTCAGCTTTGATAGTAAATTGTATGCGCACATCCTCTGCTGCACGTTTATCGATATCTTCCAGATCGGTGACATCGATTGCGGCCTTAATTTCTTCTTCCAACTGTTGCAACTCCTTGTGCGCTTGAATGAAACTGAGATCCTCCATGCCCACCGAGGGTACTTTAAAAACAAAGGGCTCGGAGCCAAGATAGCCTATACGTAGTTGACCTGTGTCGCCGAGTGCAACAATACCGCCGGCTAAGCCATGCAAATTGGAGCGCTGAATGGCTACCGGTGCATCGTCTTTATACTGAGCGGCCCAAATAATGTTAGCAGCCTCGTAAATGAAGAGTTTGCCACTTTCGGAGGCAATGGCGGTGATTAAGCGTGCGCCCGGTTCTGAATGGAGAGAAAATGCGGGGGAGTTATTAGAGGTTTGGACAAGCGTTTCTTATATTTTTTTTTACAATGATTCCAATAATAAAAGAAGCTTTCGATTCATTAAAACATATAACTAGTAGGACCCGAAGTGGAAATAATGGATAGCTAATGAGAGAACAACAGGAAATCTCAGGTATTTAGTTTAACACCAACGTTTTGACTCTCAACTCAAACTGAAATTCCAAAGTTCGTGTTATTGGTTTATCAGCGTAAATAATTGCAATCGTTTGAGCTTGAGAATATGTACAAGACCCCGGCCTATGACCTATATTTGGCTCACTGATTTGTATGCGAGACTGAATTTCCTTCTGAATCTTCGATGATAAGACATGCATGAATCGCAGATCATTAATTAAACAGGTGTAAGTTTACATCCCAGTCATATCTAGATCTCTTTTTTTCTTGCTCTTATCCGACATTTTTGGGCCTACTTCTGGTTTTTCGAGATCCCCGGGACTACAATGGAGGTTTTTGGAACTATTTCGGGATTTCCGAGACTTCTTCGAGATTTTCGGGATTCTCGTTACTATATCGGGATCTTTGGTATAACCACGGGATATTTGGACCATTTTAAAATTTTTGGGACTAATTTGGAAAATTTTGGAATATTTCAGGTTTTTCGAGAATACTTCGAGATTTTAGAATTGTGGGGCTTGGATACCTAAAATTTTAAAGTAGTTTCGAAAATCTCGAAATGGTCCCGGAGATCCCGATAGAGCCCCCAGAACCCAAACTTCGTCCCAAAAACTTCGAAGTAGTCCCGAAGATCCCAAAATAGTGCCGATAATACCGAAAATCTTCAAGTAGTCCCGAAAATCCCGAAGCTGTCCAAAAAATTCCGATAGTTTCGAAAAAAAACTATTCCCAAATGCTCCGAATTAGTCCCTAAAATCTCGAAATAGTCCAAATATTCCGAAGATCCCGATATAGTCCTGGGAATTCCGAAAATCTCCAAATAGTCCCAAATATCCCGAAATAGCCTAATAACTATAACTAATAGTCTAATAATTCCGAAGTAGTCCCGAAGATCCCTCATTCATGAGAGTTGTTCCCATCGTTTACGTGCACCTTTACACACTCGCAAAGCAGACATTACGTTACTCACCACTATTCTAATCAGCCGTTATTGCCTGAGTTCTCATATGAAGCGGTTTGGAGTTACGCGGCCGTTTTCTCAAGTAGCTTTCAAAATTTAGACGCCATTAAATATAAATATTGTTCTCAGAAAATGAGTTTGCAAAGCATACGTGTAAATTTTAAAAGCTGTTTTAGTTTGGAGCTGAAAAGTTATTTCCTTCTTCCCAACCGAATTTACTTCTGACTGACAAGTTTCCATTCTCAAGTAGTGCAAGAGGTCTCATGCTTGTACACTCAAGAACACTTTTTCAGCTTTCTTAACTGACGCCGATTTATTGAATAATGGGTCCAATTTCAGTTTAGAACTATTAAAACAAATCGATTTAAGTAATTACCCCAATAGTAGCCGATAACGAAGGAATGAAAGCATCTTGGCGTATAATCCAATTTCAGAATGAAATCTACCAATCCATCATCGGTTAGCCTAATAAAGTTGCGCTCGCCCAGTATCATAATTGAGGCTGAATTTCTTTTAATTAGAAAGTAGAGATCATTCAGCTGTTTACCTTCTTCTGTAAGATGAACTTTTAGTAAGTATTACTTACGACTTCGTCTGCACCACACATATGTCGACAATACCTTCACCGATGCAAATCGACCAAGAGGGCTGGAATTCCGAACGATTTAAGGAAGAGTGCGAAAGGTCCTGATAGCTGTTTAAAATAATTCCGAAAATAAATTATTTACGCCTCACCGCACCAACTACAGTTCAAAATAAAATACATACGTAAAACACTCCAAATTCCAACCGGCTGTAAAGCGAAAAAAGCTATCCGTCCGTTCACAATAGACAACTGGCACAGGTAATGCACGATTACCCGGCAATTGACATTCGTACAAAATACCATCCTGCTCATGGAACGTCAGCGTGCCATCCAAATGCGTAATACAGAAGAACTCACGTCCCTTGACACGCCCAAAAGCACCCTTCGTCAACGCCAACGCACCACGTTTCAGCTTATAATCGGCCAAAGAAACCAGACGTAGCTGGGCGCCATGCTCAGCGACGCCACCAATGGCTCTGGAGCTTATAAATGGACACCGAACGCGGATGTAAAACGGCAAGTTGATTGTGCTTTTCATCAGCCAATTGTCCACTGAATTAAAGTAGCAAATTTAAAAGGGGTTTATGGTAAGAAATATTTCACAGTGGGTTCCAACTCACCCACTAAACCGCCCCGCATATATGCCCAGTATCGGCGCTTTAAGATTCACCTCCAACAGCAAGTCGGTCGGTCTAAAAGCCCCACCATCTTCATGGCGTCGATTTTGATCCAAGCGTGGATAGAAAATGCTCAAGTTACCGCTATGCGAACCCACAACCACATAGTCCTTTTCATTATCGTCAAGTCCGAAGCGAGCGCACAGTAAACTGGCTACATCATAGTTCTCCTCCAGATCGGAGCACTGTGTGTGCCACCAGTTGCAAACGTTGAAGAGTGACATGACGCGCGAACGCTTAATGCATAATGCACTAACTTTGTGAACTGACACAGCCGCTCGAACGAGGAAGTAGTTCAAGTGAAAATTTCAACTATTTGCTTGTTAAATGGCGAAGAGTGTCGCCGCTGTTGATTTGTTTAGGTCGCCGGAGGAGCGTTGCTATGACGAATTGACGTCAGCTGTTGGAGCTCACACGGGGCGGTTTTAAGGTATTTACTTAGTGGGGTAGTTAGTTGAAATTTGGCTATTTCAAAGAAGAAATGAAAGCAAGAAGGATGTTGCAACTTCACATATCTGAATTTTTGTTTATCTAATTACTTAGTTCAAAGTCACATAAGCTGGTAAAGAATTTAAGGCCGAGGAGTTTAAGAAAAATGTAGACTGTGGAGATTGATGCGATTCTAAAAGTTCTGTGCTGGGAAATTGTAGCAGAGATTACACCGGCACCCAAAAAAAGTTCGAGTTCAGATTAAGTGACTCTGCATATGTACATTAGACTGCATCACCAAAAAAGTTGGGTATTTCGGAAAAATATTAAGATTTACGTGAGCTGGACCGATTTGAAAATACTTTCAAAAATGGAGTTTTTATAGATAAAAGTAGTTTCTTAAAGGAATTTTGGAAAAAAAACCCCCAGATAACAAATCAGTTAAAGCTTAAAAAATCTGCATAAAAATTATAAAAAAAAATATTTCAACTGAATCATAATAATGAGATTTTTGATGTTGTTCTCTAACTTTTTTTAAAACTTGGTTTAAGAAAAATTTGAATAACTGTGCCAAAACTATACAGATTTAGACTTCTGAGGATTTATTTACCACTTTTATTTCTTTACAAAGCAACTCAAGCACGTTCCAATATTTTTCTTGCAAATATCAACACATCGTCATTCAACTTGCAAAGAAATAAAATAAGTCTAAATCGGTAAAGTTTTGGCTGTGTTATTCAAGTTTTTCTTAAACCAATCTTTGCAAAAAAATCCAAAAACTGCATATATTTAATTTACTGTGATTCCATTCAAAAAAAATTTTTTTTTAATATTTTTATGCAAATTTTTTTGAGCTTAAACTGTTTTGCCATCTGAGGTGATCCCCTACCATGAGCCAGTCTTCGCATACGAACTTTTTTTTTGTGTGCCGGCCATATGTACCATCTCTTTCCACGACGAAAGGTATTGTTCTCTCGTCCCAGCCTGTCAACGTGGAGTCTCTTTTTCTACCGAAATAATACTATGGACTCCTCGTTTCCTATTTTATCTTCGGTTCTCATATCAGTGAAATTCTATGACTTTTCGATAGGATAGAAAAGTACTTCTTTAATTGAGGTAATACCCGAAGGAGCCTCTTTGTCAGGGTTACCAAACATGGGCTTTTCCTACCAAAACTGGTAGGTTTTTTTCCATTTGGTAGGTTTGTTGGCTAGATTGGATTTTGGTAGGTTCCGCGACAATAATAGTTATTTGCGAAAAATATAAAATATGTATGTCAACCTTATTTACACGAAAATTTCACCGGTGGAGTTCACCATTGTCCACCTGACATAGACTTCATTGTAAGACTGGAGGAATATCACCAAAACTAACCTATTGACCCGTTGTCACATATGCGGTACTGGCCTGGTGCCTTAAGGCTTCGCAAGTAAAGGCTGCCGCGTGGCCATTACAGGGCACCTGTTGGACGCATGCCTTTGGTGTCATTACGGGCACTCCTCCTTTGTCTATTCTGTTTGAAAAAAAGGTCTGCTGGAGCGCCCTACGACTGCCCAATAAGAACAGCATGAAAATTTGTGATCTTCGGGGTTATTTGGAGGTTCTAAAGCCATTCCTGGATAATCCCGAGTTATCCTTCAGAATTCCTGAAACGGACTGTTGTGAAGTGATAATATCTATTATTGACGGGTTTGAAGTGTTTGAAGACAACGAAAGCTGACTGTCTCGTAAAGTGTGGAGCCAAAATGCACTTGCATGGCCCCTAGCCTTTTGTGAGCTGGTGGAGGAAACCCCACAGCATGTTCTATGTGACCTCACCTCACACGTATCATAAATAGATGACTGATGCACCTTAGGGAACGATTGTCTTCTTCAACCAAAATTTTAAACATGGCGCCCTCCAAAGTGCCTAACTTCTTAAAGATAATAAGGTTGGAGTGATTAAAATTAGGACTCAGCACAATAGATCTTCTTATGTCGCAGCGCGTGTATCCCCGACGTAATAATGATAATATTAACACCTAATATGTATGTGTAAAGAACAAATATTTGCGTAAGTCTGTACAATAAAATGAATTGTTATACGTTGTTGATTTGTTTTTATTGTACTACCTGTGCTTTAGTTTTTCTAAATGTTATGTTTTCTAAATTTTTAATAATCTTGGCATTAAAAAAGTATTAAAAACTTAAATAACATTTTGATAGATTTTGGTTGATTTTGGTAGAAAGTTTTGGTAGGAAAAAAAAAATTGTCCGTGGCAACACTGCTCTTTGTCGTCTTTTTTATCGAAAAGGCTAAGCTTGTCCTCGATATCGTCGGCATACTCCAGCAAGTATACGATCTTGTAAAGTATTGCCTCTGAGCGGTTCAGTTCTGCGGCTATTTGGACCAGATATCTCTGAGAAATTTGGCCCACACAAATACCCACCACCATAGTACCAGAAACCGTCAAAATTACACCACACGATGCCAAAGCACGCAGCAACAAGAAGACAAGCCAAGGCTACACAAAGCCCATGGTCATCATGTAGCCGCACACGACCAAGGCAAAATGACACAGGCGGCCTATATAAGATACAACACATCCGCTCGCGGCTGGGTTGCGTAGCTACAACTGAATGGAGGGATTGCTTGTGTTTAGTTATAAAACAGGACAAGACATCACTACTCAGAAATAGTGAGCACCAAAGTCGGCTTCAATCACCGCTCACCACAGCTTCCCGTGAAGCCGCCACCGACGACACCAGAGCGCTCGCCCAGACTGCGGCAGAGCAAGAGCAAAGTCACGCCACCACGACATAACGGACCGGTAACGGGACACGGGAGCCGTTACCCAGCCACTGCAAGTGACGCTAGCGATTTTTCCTAATATAGTTTTTGTTATATGTTGAATAGCAAGTAAGGTAATAATCTAATAAAGTATGATTTACCGGAGCCCCGAGACTATAAATTTATTGTAATGGACCCTGGAGACGGCGAGTATACCCAGCCTTGTAGAAGAAGAGTCGGGGCAGCAAAAACGCTTCGTTTAACGGCTCTTATTATCTTCTCCAACATCAGATTAAAGAAATTACAGGAATGGGAGTCACCTTGTCTGAAATGTCGTTTGGTATCAAACGGCTCGGAGAGGTCCTTCCCAATTCTGACAGAGCTGATGGTATTGCTCAACGTCATTTTACACAGCCGTATTAGTTTCGCGGGGATAACAAATTCAGACATCGCGGCATAAAGACGACTTCTTTTGCTGCTGTCGACAGCGGCTTTGACAAATAGATGGTGCGTTTCGATGCTATTCTCGCGGGCCTTTTGCAAGATTTGGCGTATTGTACGACGACTGGAATTCAGGTATGCTCTGCCTAATCCAAAAGAAAGGCGAAAAGCTTATACGCCGCTGTCTGAATTTGGCATCCTCACTACCCTGATGGCTCCGTCAGAACTGAGAAAGACCTATCCGAGCCGTTGACCACCAAACGGGGTTTCAGACAGGCCGACTCCCTTTCATGTGACTTCTTTAATCTGATATTGGAGAAGATAATAAGAGCTGCAGAACTGAACCGCTCAGGAACAATTTACTGTAAGAGCGTGCAATTGCTGGCTTATACCGATGACATCGATATCATCGGTAACAAAAACCGCGAAGTCTGTTCTGCCTTTTCCAAGTTGGATAAGGAAGCTAAACAAATGGGTCTGGTGGTAAACGAGGACAAGACGGAGTATCTCCAATCATCAAACAAACAGTCAGCACATTTGCGCCTTGGCACCCACATCACTGTTGACAGTTACAATTTCGAGAAAGTAGAGAATTTCGTTTACTTGGGAACCAGCATTAACATCGATAATAATGTCAGCATGGAAATCCAACGCAGAATCACTCTTGCCAACAAGGCTACTTTGGACTGAGTAGGCAATTCAGGAGTAATTTCCTCTCTCGACGTACGAAAACCACACTCTAAAAGTCACTCATCATGCCCGTGCTGGTATGTGGCGCAGAAGCATGGACAATGACCACATTCGATGAGGCGGCTCTTGGAGTATTCTAGAGAAAGATTTTGCGGAAGATTTACAGGCCTTTACTTTACATGGGCGATTTGGGTTCTCGTTTTTCGATCTGTGGACAGCCATGTAGCTTGGTGTATCTTCTTATGCTGGACCTAGTACTAGATATTACCATGTTTCGGTCCCCGGCGAAGTTGATCAGCCTCAATCCGTTATTGGACGTTTTCGTCATGGAATTCGCCAAGCACGATTTTTATATCGTGCCGGGGGCAGCGTTCATATGTTCTGTTCAAGCGCTCATAGGAGAGATTCTTGGACGCCTTGTCCTTCTCTTCCGTCGGAGCTTAGGCGCAGATGAGCGAAATATTGAAGTCTCGTTTTGATGCGGATTGTGGCTAAACGTTCGTCCACCGGGGTGAGCGCCAGTACTCGGCGACGGTATCTCTCTTCCACCACAAATCCCATACCGAATTTGCGCTCCGTTACGTGGCAACTATAGTAGACGTCGCAAGGTTCCATACTTACCTTGCCTTGCACCGTCCATCGCATATCTTGGATGGCGGTGATGTCAGCCTTAGTCTTCCCGGGGACATCAACCAGCCGGGCATCATCATCAGAAAAAGGGGGTCTCATACGAGCATGCTTTTTGCTTTTCATTGGGCGGAGTTTTAACGTGGGGTGCCAAACCAAGCGCACGCGTAGTTTCACGCCTTCACACTTTAGCTCGCTCCCAAACGGGTGTTTGGTTGCTACCCAGAGGACATGTGAATATAAATAGCCGGACGCTGCGAGCTGCGATTTGAACCATACGCACAAGAACACCTCTGGCCACTCCCAGGTCCCAGGTGAATGGAAATGAACCATCATTTCATCCGCATTTCCCAAAACTCTCTAAAGAATTTTTAAGCTATTACAACTACAATCATAGGTCATTATGGAAGAGATATCCTGTCTTTGAGTGGACTCCCGCTTACCCACATGGACTCTTGAGAGGTAACTGAAGACAATCAACGACCTGACACCCTGCTGAATACGTTTAAAAGGTAGTTGGTGTATTTTCAACGGAATTTCACTGCAGAAACACCGATTTAGACCCTTTGCCATATTCAACGTCATTGCATTTTATTAAGGTGGGCGGAAAAAAGTGTTCACGCGAAGTTTTTAATCTGTGACGCAAGGGCAGGGATGAGGTAAGGATGAGCCTCGCCCAAAAAAGTAAACGCATTTGAGTGATTTAGAATATTTGTATATGTATGTATGTATTTAAATTTAGTTTGATAATAATCATGTATGTATGTACTGCTTA